GTAGGGACTAATCCTTCATTTATACAGTTTAGATCGGCCCCTGAATCTATTAATGCAATTGTTTGAAAGCTATATTCTTTATGGACTATTATCTTTACTAATCTAAACCATTTTTGAGTAACCACTTTATCGAGTAGGTTTACATAATTATCAGTTTGTATTGTACTAGAGGATTCTGGTTTTTCATCTATAAAAGGTAGAGGTTTTTTATATTTATTTATAATATTATTAAACTCTAATTCTTTATCAGAATTGTCAAGACTATTTTCTTGATGGTTAGAGGCTAGTTCTAAAATTTGTATTCTATTTTTTAAATTTATTAATTCATTTCGTACTTCATTTAGTTCATGTTTTAATTCTGATATAGATGGTTCTTTTTGAACATTATTTTTATCTTCGACTTTCCTAAGCATTTTGGCAAAATTGTAATCCTCTTGTGTTCTGACAAGAGGAGGGAGCTTCTTGTTGGCTTTTGCTATATTAATATATTGTATTAAGGCTTCTTTTTTAGCCTCAGGGTCATTAATTTTACCTATTATATCAATAATTAGATTTTTCTTCTTTAGCGAGTGTATTACAGAAGCAATTATCATCTTCTGATTCTGTACTGCTAAAAATTAAATTCTCATCATCTATTTCTCCAACAATTTGTTCTGTGTCAGAATCGGATGATTGCTCAGAGGATTCTTTATTTATTTGCAGTATATGAAATAATTGGCTTCTAATATTTTCTTCTATCTATAAGGCGTTTATTTTCTTTTGTATTTGGCATTTATTCTTCGAATGCCCTACCTTACCACACTTATAACAGATAGGTATTTTTCTTTTTTCCTTGTATTTCTTAAATCTATTCTTGGGAGAGAATTTTCTAGAAGATTTTTCTTTAGTGATGGTTCTATTGATATCTGGTTTGTATTTTTTATGCCTATATTTTCTTTTTTCAGTATCTTTAGGCAGAGAGTATTGTATCCGAATTGTTCACAGAAATCTCCTAGTTCTTTTCTGCGTGTCATTTTTTGTTTTTCTAATTGTCTTTTTAGCTTTAGATCTGTACAGAGGGCAAGAACTTCTGCACAAATTTCTGCTGATAATTCTCCTAACGTATATAAAGAGTATGGGATTATTCCTCCATGCTTATTTTTTAATCTTGTCTTGACATTCTCAACAAAAGATGTGGTAAACCAGCAATAAATTTCTCTTTCCAGTGGTCTGATTTACTATCTTCTCTGGAAAGAAGATGAGAGAAAAATACATCCTTATACCACTTATAATGAGATAATGTTGGGCATCTCAGGCTAAAAAGGAGATCTTCTAACCTGGCATCAAGCAGTGCAATACTCCCTACAAAATGAAGGGTAATAGTATATATCAGGGTGTTTACTGCATCACTCCCACTATTGACTATATCTCGGCCAAACTCATTTTTTACTGTCCATTGCCTTATGGCGACCAGCATTTCTCTTTTTCTATTTTCATCTATATGGAAATCCCACCATCCTCTTAGCCATCCAGTAAAACCACAGATAATGGCTTTGGCTATTTCTTGATCATGGTTTCCGCTTATTTTGCACGCTGTTGCGTACATGGTCATATGTTTCATTGCATCGAGTATTCTTAGACATACCATCTATATTCCAATTGACAATTGTCCTTCCTGAATATGATACTGCGCTAGTTATTAGATCTTCTTCAAACTGAATATCTACAGGAGTAGGTCTTGGGTAATACATCCTGGTCTGAGAAGTTGGTCTTACTTTCCTCCCGTAGTCTATCCTATTTATTTCAAGGCTTCCTCCATTTGTTGGATTTCACTATTGGCTAAGTCTTCTTCTTGCAAAACCATAGCTTCTTGCTTAATAACTATTCTGTTTCCTTTTATGCTTAGTTTAAATAACTTTTTTACCAATTCATCTACCAATTGTTTATTATCTTCCTTTTTCTTTACACCGTCCAGGCTAAACTGCTCTTTGCTGAGCTCTGGAGGAGGTTTAAATAACAAAGCCTTTTTCTTATTTGTATCAATTGTCTTTTCTTGGGGTATAATCTGAGGTCTACCAATCATATTTTCAATTCTGGTTGTTTGCTTTCCAATGGTTTGGAGGCAAAGGTTAGTATAGTTATTTTGTTCAATTATATGAGGTATAACATCTATTTTATGGGTATGATGTTCAGTTTCCTGTGGAATTATTTTATAAGGAGAGGCTTTGGTCTCAGGTTTTTCTTTTAGTGCCCCTTTTATTTGGAGACTTTTTTCAGGGGGATGAATACTTTGTATTTCTTCCCCTTCATGGGTATAGAAGGTTTGGTACTGATTTTCTATAGCATTAATACCAAAGTCTGGGATTGGTATATCTTTTTCTTTCAGAATGTATCGTAACCAATCAAAGAATCCTATATTTTGTTTATTTTTCTTTATAAATTTATTAAATCTCTTATGAACAGCGTCTAGTAATTCTTGGGGGAATTCAGCTAGATACCAGTCTCGGATTTCTTTGTTTTCTTCAGACATGAAATCATTTTTAATTCCTTCTATATCTATTTTGAATATTTCTTCTTTTTGAAGAGTAAGGATCTTGAAGTCCAAATCAAAAGGTGTGTGTTGGTATCAGAGCCATAGGTTTACAGTGGTGAACTGTATTACTAGATATCTGTTCTAAAAGTCAAAGACCTAATAAAATTTACTATAAAGATAGTAAGGAAGTGAAACCTAAAAGTTGTTGTGACCCGCACTACTGAAAAAGGCCAGGAAGAGCCGTGAAAAAGATACAGGGACTGTTTCCGACTGACTCAGCATTCACCCACTATCCTAAATGGAAAATTTTATCAGGACTCTGTCCAATAGAACAGCTTCCTCGTCTAATAGTACACTACGAGTAAAAAATAAAGAAGAAGTAACCATAGACAATATAAAACGACAAATACATAATTGGAATATTCCAAAGGTCCCTATAACCGATATATATAAAAAAGGAACTTTCGAGTTTAAGTCTAGTTTTGCTATTAAAACAGTAGAACAAAGTATATCTATAACTAGTGAACAAGAAAGTTTTTAGTTACTCTCCCATAGAATGATACAAAATCATAAATCTAAGGAATATCGATATCTGCATATAGGCCTTATACAGATAGCCATAAAACCTTTAACTAAATTAGGATTAAATAACTCAGTCTTATTATGTTTAAGAGACGATCGTCACAATAAATTCTCAGACTCTCTCTTAGGAATAATAAAGTCCAGCCTCTGCAATGGACCTATATATTTTAACTGTTTTCCAAACTTTTTTGTCTCCCAAGCAGACCCTAACTTCTTAAAAGTTCTTACTCTAAACATAAAAACCCAAGGGTTTGATATGAACCCTGGATCACAAAATATTGTATTAGTATACAGAATATGTTATAAGGCAATGAACACTCTATGTCCTAATGCCCTTCAAATGGACACCACAGGACAAACTGTATTATTTTAACCAATATGGAAAAAATGAATACAGTCATACATAAGTCTATAAGCTGGTCCCAAATTACTCTTCTAAAAAATTGGTCCTTACACTGTGGCAACCAACAATCTAAAGTCCCAATTAACAGGGAACCAGACCAAATTATTGAATATCCTGATGGAGATGTTGAAATACAATTTAATACAAACAGACGCACAAGGATAAATCTATCAGAAGAGTCTGGTCGAATACCATCTAGACATATTGTGCCATCAAGACATTCTACCTCTTCCATGCTACAAAGACCTATACTAGGTGGATTAACAAGGACAAATAGTAACATCCAAAGACCAGTATATAGGGTATATGAACCCAGTTCATTATCATATATATATATAGGAAAACTCTTAAAAACGCCTATAGGCGAAATTAAATTGTATTTCACCCGGTTATAGACATACTATGTCCGTGGTGGTTTTGCCTTAAAAACCGTCACGGATCCATGGGAGCCATGGCGGTTTCCTGTGTTTTGTTTGCGTGAAAAGAAAGCGCCATGGACATGCTATAATGCCGTCCAAAAAAATCGAAAGGCACTGAGCCTATGGGCAAAAATACTGTTCATTTGCGCCCATAAGCGTTGCATAGTGGCTTTCTATATATATATATATATATATATATATATATATATATATACAACACACACTATACGTACTACTACTTACTTAACGTTATTTACGTTTACGTTTTTAGTTTTTAACTTTTTTTACTTTTAATTTTAACGTTA